TCTCTATCCAGCCCCTATATAGACTATTTTAGAGAGTAACCCATTCAGTGCTAACACTGCCTATCAAGAGAAAGCTTGGGAGGCTCACACTTCTGCTCAGACGTTCATCATTGGTTTAGCAGGGTCTGAACTTGAACCACGGGCACTGTCTGAACTATACAGCAGAAAGAAAAGATGGTCACAGCTTCTCTGGTACGGAGGGAACAGAGCTTCTCTGCGATTCTGGGCCTTACAAATCAGATGTATAGACAGAGCCCAGCTCCTGGGTATAGATGTTTCCATGACCAGTATATAGGGTGTTCTGGGCCAGCAAAGACCCTTAGAGGAGAAGGTCCTCTGGAGCAACAGCTCAGTTTGCAGAATATGGGACCGGGCCAGGGCTCAGGATGGCCCTGTGTTTTCACAGTGGCCAGAGCACTTCCTGCTCGAGGACATGTGTGTCGGAGGGCTCCCTGCAAGCCTCTGTAATATCAAGAATGTATGTTGGACATCCTTGGAGTTTTAGCTGCAGTCTGTGCATTTTGTCCTCAACTGTGTGTACATGTCTCTGGAAAGCAAGCGGGCCTTGCCAACAGCTGTAAAGCTGCTCATCAGGCTCTTTGTGCGCATAGCTGACCTTTGAACTCTCTTGGATGGACTGATGTTTTACAGGACACTTGCAGTTGACTGTTTAGCAGAGATTCTTTTCTTGTGTTTGTGTGCATGCATGCATGCATGCTTATGTATGTGCTCATGCATGCTTGTGTGTGTGTGTGTGTGCGCGTGCGTGCGCTCATGCATGCTTGTGTATGTGGGGCCAGAGCTCAAAGTCATGTGTCATCCTCAGTGGCTCAGCACACTTTTTGAGGCCCACTTGCTGAATCTGGAAGCTCACTGGTTTTCTAGACCTGAGAACCCCAGAGATCCTTCCCTCTTTCCAGGCACACAGCCCTGTGCCTGGCTTTTCACACAGGTTCTAGGGATCAAACTTGGATCCTCATATTGGTGCATCAAGCATAGTACCAACTGAACCTTGTCCTGTGTGTGTGTGTGTGTGTGTGTGTGTGTGTGTGTGTGTGTGTGTGTGTGTAGACATGTGTGTCATGTGTGTCTGTATAGTCAGGTAGTCTCAGGTGTTAATAGTCACCTTCCACCTTGTTCCAGTTTCCTGTTTGCTGTTGCAGATGCTATGTGAGCTGGCCCACACATTTCCCAGCATTCTCCTGTCTCCACCTTTCATCTTTCCACAGAAGCATCTTGATTACAGACATGCACTACATCCAACTATTATGTGGGATCCAGGGATTTGAACCCAGATCCTTACACTTGTGTGGCATTTCTGTAGGAACTTCATCTTATATCGTTGTTTTTTCAGATTGTGGTTAAATGATTTGGTTGCAGGTGTGTGTGCGCGTGTATGCGCGTGTGTGCGTGTGTGTGTGTGTGTGTGTACTTGTGCACATGCCTGTGTGCACACACCTGCTAATCTGCCTGTCTGGATGCTATGTGTGCACTAGTGACCACAGAGCCTAGAAGAGGCCATCAGACCCCCTGGAGATGGAGTTAGAGGTGATTGCGAGCCCCTGATTGGGTGCTGGGAACTGATCCTCTCAGACGTCTCTCCAGCCTGTTTGGGAATTTTTAAAAACTCATTTGAAGGGTACTGATGACTTTACCTTTCTTCAGATCCTTTGGTATCTATTTACTTCCTTTGCTGACACCAGGCAGGGGTGGGGGGTGGGGCCTACCTCTGTAGCCCAGGATGACCTGGCCTTCACTGTGCAGCCCTGGCTGTCCGCCAGCCTCTGATTCCAGGTGCAAGCCTCAAGTGCTGGAATCATAGATAAGAGTCACTGTGCTCACACTGGTTTTAGCCTACGTATTTAACCCAACCCTACCGTTCTCTTCAGAAGTCTCCAGACCCGAGGCTCCTCCATTTCCTCACATAGCTGCTGCCTCCTGGGCAAGTTCCCATGGCCAGCCATGTACTTCTCCAAAGACCCTCTGGGCCTTCCCTGGGCCTTGCACAGGGCTTCAGCCAATCCCAGTGTGGCTCAGCTCTCATTATAGCAGGCTGACCTCAGCATCACCACTGACTGCCGGGACCTGCTGCCGTCCCGCTGCTGCTTCCTTCTGGGAAAATGTTTGACCACACATCACCTCCCCTTTGGCTTTTGAAAGCAGCTGCTTCCCTGAGACAGAACCTGGGTCTGGAGTCTCTAGAATGTTTTCTGTAGCTATCATGCCTCCCACTGGGTTCTAAGTCAGGAGCTGAGCTCTAGGTGACCCCAGGTGTCTTAGTGCTCCCGTGACAGCTCAGTGAGCTTGCCCACAAGCCACTTTTCAGATGTATAGCCCAGGCTAGCTTTGTCTTTCTGTTTTGAGTCAGTGTGTCACAGTGTAACTCAGGTTGACCTCATAGTATGACTGCCTCTGCTTCCTGAGTGCTGAGGTTAAAGGTGTGCGCCACCATCTGGCTTATCTGTGTTTGTGGGCATGTGTGCAGAGGTCAGACAAGCTAGTTCTCTCCTTCCACTGTGTGGGCTCCTGGCTTGAACTTGGGTCCTCGGCACTTGCTCAGCTTTCCCCACTGAGCCTATCTCCCTGGTCAGAGTTGGAGCTCTACTAATGGCCTCCTGGCTGAGGAGCCCTATTTATGGTTTCTTGGCTTCTCACTTGTTTTGGGGGTACGGTGTGTGACGTGCGTACATGCGTGTTTCTCTGTGTAACAGCCCTGGCTGTCTTGGAACTCGCTTTATAGACCAGGTTGGCCTCGAACTCAGAGATCTGCCTCTACCTACTGAGCAATGGCATTAAAGATGTAAGCCACCACATCTCGTTGGTTTCTTTTAAAAGGCCAATACTTACTGAATATTTACTAGACACTGTAGTGAATGCTTCAGGGCCAGTTTAAGAAAACAATGTACTGTGGTGTGTGTGTATGTATGTGTGTGCACGTGTGTGTGTGTGTATGTATGTGTGTGCACGTGCATGTACCATGGGGCATGCCACAGGACAACCTCTTTCCTTTCACTGAGGATTCTGGGGATTGAACTCAGGTCACTAGGCTGTGCAGGGAAGCACTTTTACCCAGAGCTATATCACTGGCCCAACATTGTGGTTTCTTTTCTTTTGCTTTTTGCTTGGTTGGTTTTTGCTTTTTGAGATAGTATCATGTAACTCAGGCTAGCCTGAAACTCCATTGGGAGCTAAGGATGACTTTGAACTCCTGATCACCCTGCCTCCACTTCCCTTATGCTGGGATGACCTGTGTGCCACTGTTTTTGTACAAAGCTAATTGGTGTAATTTCCTCTCTCCGGAACAGACACTTAGCTGATGTCTCATGAGTAACATGAAATTTCAGAGGTCACCCTCTTCCACAGCCATCTGAGAGAACTGGACCTGGACACACCAGTGCTGTCACCTCCTGACATCCATGACCAGAGTGATGTTTAGCAAATAAGGACGTCTTCACCGCTGGGCAAAAGGACAGGCCATTGGAGGTAGCGGTGGCAGAATGGGGTCAGGTCACTTAGCCTGTCCCCTCCTGTAGCAGCAGAAGTGCCCATCAAGGCTGCAGGAAGTAGAATAGAGGGGTGGGGTGGGAAGGGCATTATGGGTCATTGTGGCTCCTCGGGCCACATCGTGGGTGCTCAGATGGGGCAAGGTCTAATCACCCTGCCAGCCAGCACCAAGTGGGATGGCAGAAAGGATGTGCCAGGGTGGACAGGCCTGAGGGAGGAGCTACGGGGCCCACAGCGGCTGGAGAGCTGGCTCCGCCTGGTGTGAAAGTGAACGCCCCATGTAACTATTTTGGGTGGGGGGCGTCAAACAGGCAGAGTAAGTATGAAGCTTCCCCAAGACACCTAGCCCTACCCTGGCCCCTGCACAAGGCCCGAGGCAACAAGAGAGCCTGGGCATGTGGTATGCAGCCAGGTTTGCCTACAGCTTGGGTGTGAGTGTCTCCCCTCTGCAGTCCACTGCAGACATTTGGTTTTTCAGGCACAGTGACCCAATCATCTCTAGCTGTGAACTGTAGGCCCAAGATCCCCCCCCCCCCAAATGAGGACACTGCCCTCAGCACTCCTGGTAGGTGGGGGAGAGCAGGTGTAGATATGGCAATGACACCAGCCTGCCACTCTGAGTGTGAGATGCTCTGGTTTTGTGTTCCCCCACAGTTCCTGTATTGAAGGTCCAACCTTATAAATATGGAGCAGGCGAGTCCCTAGCAAGTGACTGGGTCATGAGGGGGAATCTTCACAGAAGATCTCAGGGCCTGTGATTCCTGATGCTGTGTGACTTCAGCAAGGAGGCATTACTAATGAGGACCATATGGGCGATGTTGGCATAGGGCTTCCCAGTGATACAGAATCTGTTGGGGAACCCGAGACTGGACTTCTCAGATGCACAAGTCACAGTCTGTAATGTTTTCTTAAGGAGACGGAAGAACCCAGACCTTCTGAAAAGGAGTTCTAACCATAAAGCAGCTATGATCCACACAGCACTTCCAGGTAAACTGTCTCAGGATGCTGTAGAAGAGGTGCAGCATCACCTCCAAGATGAGTAAACGGTATTTTTGACTTGGGACAAGTTTACAGCGATGGACTGTCATAGTTTTCCCAGAAGCATCTGCAGTAGGAAGGGTCCTCAAAAAGTTAACCCAGAGCATGATGACCCAGAATTTCTGTAGATGGTAATAGAGTCCAACAGAGGTTTGTGCACGTGAATTCTGGGCAGTCTTACTCAAAATAACCAAAAGAGAGTATGTGCAAGGAATTGGCTAACCAGCTCGTGAGGTAGGCAGAGCCCCAGGGAAGGCACAAAGCTGCCACCTCAAGTCCACGGTGTCAAGGACAGAGTGAACAACTAATTGTACAGTCTGTTTAAGCACTGGTATTTCCATTGTTTTCCCCAAAAGCCTAGCTTTGCCCTCTTTTCCTTGGAGGCTGGACTTCATTGCTGGTGAAGCTAGGTTAAATACATCCAACTCGTTACCACATCAAAGTAACAAATGCCAAAAGAAAATGTAAAGTTGTGAGTTTATTGCATATGTAACAAAATGAACCTGACCTCCCGGGTCCAGCCTGCTCTACAGTCAATGTTTTTGTGTTTCCAGCTGGTTCCACAACTGCATTAAATAGAACTAGCATTTCTTTAAATACTTTCGATTCAGACATAAAACAGAACATTAGTGTACAACTGTCACAAGTAAATGGGCAATAAAAACTGGGAGAGCAACTGGGGTAGCAGCAGCACTTCAAACAGGACCTTACAAAATAAATTAGAATACATTATAAACACATTTGAAAAATCCACTGTTTCAAGAAGGCTGTCGTGTGGCCCCCACCTGGCTGCAGTAGGGTGGGGCATTTTCTCTGCAGAAGGTCAGTCCAGGGTCCACCTACCCTGACTTGACCATGTGGCCAAGTCAGGGTAGAGGTCAGCATCCCCGCATCCCATCTTGTGGCAGACTCTCCTAACAGAGAGCAGGAGATTGCGACCCGCTGCCACCCCATTGCTGCAGCCTGCGCTTCCTCTGAAGCGCTGCGAAGCAGAGTGGTGTTTGCTGCGTCCCTGAGTGTGGCTGCTGGCCGCTGGTGAGGGAGCCTGGGGAGCCGGACTCCTGAAGCATCTGGGTGATGTGGCCACGGTGGATCGTCCGGGGCCACCAGGAGGGGTGACAATTGAGATCTTACATGAAAGGGCTTCATCCAGACCCAAAGCAGGGCAACCAGGAGCTTAGCTGTGGGCCGGCCACGCAGTGTCCTTTGAGGTGTTTCAGAGGGGCCTAACCATGGTAGACAGACAAGGAGGTGCAGCGGTACCAACAGAGGCCAGCGCTGCACAGACAGATGCACCTGGGGGAGGCTGGGACACTCAGAATTGGCAATGGGGGACCCACAGGCAATGCAAGCAGACTCAGAAGCCTTAGAGGTGGTCTGTGTGCCTACCACAGTCAGCCCGAGGGCCCAACCTCTGGATCTTCCTCAGGACACCTGACATAGGACTCCTAAGACTTATCCCTTATCAATCCCAATGTAACAGCTCCAAAGCACGGGACCCTGGTTTCCTTCATCACTGCAGGCTAGCACAGTGTAACAGCAACAGGCAGGGTTTCTAGTTTCCAAAGTGTCACTCTACAGGCTCTGGCTGGTTCCCATGGACTGGCTGTGGCTTAGGGTACAGGCTTCCTCACTTAAATACTCCCAGTCATGATGGAGTCGGCTTTCAGAACGCCCCAGAAGTGTTAAGGTAGATGAAATAAGACAGCCCTACGGGGCAAGGCAGAAAACTGAGACTGATAAGGTCCCAGTTTGGCCTGGATGATGGGAACGGAGTAAGTTTTGTGCAGTGAGGTCTTCCTGTTCCCTCCCTTGAAGCCTAGAGTATGGCTGACTCACACTCTGTGGTACCAGTGGCCACCACGCTGGCAACCCTCTCCCCACACTTCAGAGCTCCTCTCGGAGCAAGCTGGACAGAAGCAGCAGGAGCAGCAGGGAAGCCACTTCCCCATCCCTAGCCGGAGGTAAGCCATGAAAAGAACTTAACAGCCAGTGGCCCACAGGACCTTCCTCATGTCCCACATACAACTTGAACTCCTGGCTGAACCCGAACCCCGGTACCAATGAAATGTCTTGCTAATGAATTACCCTGTTCTCGCCCCCACCGCAAACAAAAATGACAAAACCACATGGAAAATTGGCTGCTGCTCTGCTTCCACCAGAGTTCAGCTGCCTGAACTCAACCCCTCTGTCTAAAGAGTCACCGCTTCTCAACACTTGTGCAAACTGGAAATGGTGTTAGAGACATGGCGTTAGGCTGGCTTTGGCCTTGCTCGTCTGGAGACAAAGACAAGCACATTGAGTAGAACTGTTAGCATCACCATTGCCACTGGGGAAGAGGGCCATGTAGGGAGGTAAAGCCCCCACCCTGTTACCACAGGCCCCATCACACCCTGCTTTGTGCATAGCACCAACCCTGGGGAGCTGCATCAGGGGACCCCAGGTCAGCGGCCTCTCCTGCTGTCCCATCCAGTGGCTGTGGTGACAAAATTGTTCTGTTAGTTTAGCTCTTAGCAATCCCCATATAAAGGTCCATTAAAATTTCAAGACAGACAGGAGCCTCCAGTCCCTGGCACAGGAGTCAGCTGGACCCAGGGGATCTGAGCCTGGTTCGGGCCATTCTTTGATTAGCTCCATGACATGTGAGAATTTCAAACTGGGTAGAGAACACAGCAAATGGGACTTTAAAGATTTTTCTCCCCTGGGCCTCCAGTGAGGCTGCTCCAATTCCTTTACCTCTCAGAGGGAAATACATCCTGCCTTGAGCTTCCTGCCTGGGTGGAATCCAGCAAGCATACACTGCAGTTATTTCCTGCTTAGAAATAGAAATCCACCTGCTATCTGAACAGGCTGCTAGCAGGACATCTGGAATTTGAGCTTGGTAAGCTATCGGCAGCTGCTGATCTTGAGAGCCGGTACAGAGACCATGCAAACCCTCAGGGCCCAGCTTGGCCATGACCGTGGGTTGACGCTCCCACAGCCTTCCCACCATGCCAAGGAAGCAGAGGGCAAAACCTGGCTGTGTTTTAGTTGATGTGTGATGGAGGGGTGGGCAAACTATAATAAAGGAGGGATAAATGGATGGGAGCCATCTATGAAAGTCCTTGGCCTGCCCTCCCCAAAGGAGGAGGGAGACGAGCCTTTTCCCTCGGGTTTCTGGGATCTCAGGCCTCAGCCCGCCATGCGGGAGGCGTGCAGACGCCATATGCTTTGGGTCTGGTGGTTGTGACGGAGACGCTGCTGCCCCTGGCCCCTCCTCACTCCACAGCAAAGCCACAGGTCTCCTCCACAGCTGTGAGCAACTTCTCATAGAGCTTCTCATAGGACTCATAGGGCGGGATGTCAATCCGATTAAAGCTGGAAAAGGAAAAAGAAGCCAAGAGTCACTGCTGGGAATCACAGTCTTCCGCACAGTGGGCGGGATGTGGTGTCCCCTCTCTGGTTGGGAAGAACCCAACCATATCAAGTTGTGAACACACACGGCTCAGCTTTCAACGTAGTTTGTTTGGGAGTTTTCGTTTCTTCCAATCAACCCACGGAAAAACTCAAGATCTACAAAATCAAAATATAAACTTGCACACTTACTGCTCCTTGTTTTGCCTCTGGGTGTGATTTCTCTACACTGGGAAGACCCCCTGGCTGGCCTGTGATTTGCACTGGTGACCATCAGCTCTCCTACTACCTACTGAGGGTCAGCCAATCCCCTGCAAGAGCATGCTGGGGCTCAAAAGCAAAAGGATGCTAAATCCTAGAAAGATGAGGTAGGTAGCAATCTTCCCCCTTAACATTTCCAGGGAGAACTCACTTCAAGGATTTGTACAAAGAGACACGTCTATTGTCTCGGTATTAGACAAAGCAGCAGCCTGTGAATCATAGGCACAGAGCAATCAGGAATGGTGTTAGAAACTCAAAGACAGGAGCCACACACCATGCTGAGGCAGGCTTGGTGGCCTACAAGGTCCTGGGAATGGGTGAATGAGCCCATCTTGCAGATGTGAACAAAAGCTGAGATAGACATAAATCGTTCCCTCCAAACCTCCTCACTGGGTCACAGGCAGTAGCTGAACCTTCTGCCTATGTAGCATCCCAACAACCTTGGGAGCTAGTATGCTGAAGGAGAGATAATGACTCTGAGACTGTCTTTAAACTACCAAGTAACTAATCTACTGTGCAAAATATTTTCAATTAAGTTTTGGAGAAGGAAAATGTGGATCCACACATCAGATAGACAGTGTCTGTCCCTTTCTGATGGGTACATGCACACACACAACCAAGGGCCATCCATGAACAGGGTAGTAGTCACCATAGCTTTAACTGCTCTGCTCCATTACAAAATCCAGTTCACAAAGCAGTGGCACGGGCACCTGCTGACGCTAGTACCCTTCTCATGTGACCATAGGCTGTGATCTGAGGCTCTACTGGAGATAACATGAAGGACGCATGACCCCACGGTGGCCAAACTTACCAGGTATGAGCCTTGGGCAAGTTGTCTGTGTTGGCGTCTATCAGGTGGATGGTGAAGAGTCGAGGCCCTGCTGCGCCTGTAGAACCTTACAAGACAACATTCTAGTTAATGCACTTTAGACAAAGCCTGGGAGTGCCTGGCCCGGAGGCCCTGGGGCAGTGGGACTTGTTCCTGAACCCCAGGGACTTAGAGCCCCTACATATATCATGCCTGGGAGCCTCTTTTGGGGGTAGCTGAGGCAGTCTGATTTGTCTCCACACTTAAGTTGACAGAAAGCACCAGCCACTGGACTGTTCCCTACTCCAGTCTTCTGGGATGCCTATGGCTTCCCTAGCCCCCTGCTGCTGAGGTTACCAAGGCTGTTAGTCCATGTCTGCCTATAGGTGTGCTACATGCTCTTCTCTGCAGGGCAAAGGCTGGCAGTGCTGAGGCAGGCTCCTGAAAGGGCAGTGTGACCTCCTGGCCACTCAGCACCTGGCCTGTGTGCCTCCAGTGGAGTGCCCTGCTCTAAGGGACATTCCTTCCTTCCTCCTCTGGGACCAGTCACTCCAGGACTGAATGGGGGCCCTGTTCCATCCCTGGCTCACATCCAAGCCCCTGCCTGGTCTTGGGTAATATTAGTAAGACCCTTGTAACAGTAGGGTTTTTTTCTCAATGGGAACATTTGGTAAGCAGGCCTACTGTGGGGAAGCAGTTGGAGGTAAGGAGAGAAGGGTGTGGGGAGTCACAAAAATCTGAACCCTCACAAAAACTCATTACCAAACAGCTGTTTTTCCCTTGGTGGGCAGAGAATAAATCTCATGTCCTTAGTGTGTCCTACTTGGTTCATCATGGTGTGTGAGGTATAGCAAGCCGTGTCCCACCCACACCCTTGATGTTGGGAAGAGCAGCAAGCCCAGGCTTAGCAGATTATACTAGTCACAGTGCTGGGAGAAGGCAGAGCCTCCTGCAGAGCCTCCTGCAGCCCTGCATCACTACAGAAATAAGGTGACTCCCTCAGTCTCTCAAGGCCAGTGAGGACTTCACACTTGCAGTAATATTGGGACACTTAAGCTCCAGTGTCCTCCCTGACTTCCACCAGTCCCCATAGGTTGGTGTTAAGTGGCACCCACCTTGGGTTATGAATGCCAAAGGCTATCAGTAGCCCCTGATAGTATAGACCCAAAGGGGACTCAGGGCTAAGTATTTGTTATGAGAACACTGGGCCACCGTAATTCTCTAGTGGGACAGCCCCACACTTCAATTCTTATTTCTGCCACCTAGGACAGAACATGGCAGTTAAACACCTCAGGGAATGGCCCCGACTCCACCGTCAGTCACCTTGCAGAGCCTTGAAGCCTTGGAGAGGAACGCGTGTGGATCCGGTCACAAACTGTAGGAGTCTGGCCCTCCTCTCCTCATCGAAGGTCTCCACCGCCTGCCAGAACCACCTCACAATGTTGCTGTCAGCCACACAATGCTTCAGGCGTGTGTTCGACTTCCAGTCATTCAGGTCTATCTTATCCAGCCCACCTATTATCAGCTGGGGAAGGGCATCGGGCTGGGTGTTAACTCTAAAAGGCCTAAGATGCCCCCACTGACAGTGCAACTCCCAAGCCAAACAGCCGCCTCTAAGACGCCCCCACTGACAGTGCAACTCCCAAGCCAAACAGCCGCCTCTAAGACGCCCCCACTGACAGTGCAACTCCCAAGCCAAACAGCCGCCTCTAAGACGCCCCCACTGACAGTGCAACTCCCAAGCCAAACAGCTGCCTCTGGGTTTTCACGGGTGCAGCTACCAATGGGCTGATCCCCCAAAACGTCAGGGAAGAGTGACTAGAAATGGCTGATGAATTCAACAGGCCATGTGGGAAATGAGGGGACATGGAGGATGCTTGCTCTCCACTTGTTTAAAAGCTTGCTCTAAACTCATGGCCTCACACAGATTTCCACTCCAAAGCTCAGTCTCACGGTGGGCAAATGGCTATGAGAACAAGCTGGAAGGCTTAGGCCACTTGGCACCAGGCAGAGCTGGCAAGGGATGAATGAGTCACTACTGTCCAAGTCCCCAACAATGACATGTTCTTAGTTTATTAATAGTTTATTAATAGCCCAGAGAACTGGGCTGAGAGCGGCCTGGTCAGGCAAAGCAAAGGCCAGAGATCCTAAAAATCCAAGGGACAGGTACCTGGGGTTCAGTCATTAATTCTTGCCAAGGGGACAGATACCACCCAGTGTGACAAGTTCAGATGCTCTGTCTCCCAACATTAAGCTCACTGCACACACGCAGGGTTGCCAGTGGCCTCAATGTCTGAGGGCCCAAGGATACCTAGCACTTACCTCCAGTTCCTTCTGGTCAAAGGGCTTCAGTAAGTGTTGGGGAATGAGTTCATTAAACCCTTTCTGAAGCGCTAAGAACTGGGCTTCAATCCCTCTCATAAACCTCCAGTTTACATACAACCTGAAAGAAAAAGCCGTCCACTGTAAGTACGGGGAGACTCAGGAAAGCACTGTCTGCACAGTGGCTGGTGCAGCTGTGACAGCATCTAATGTGAGGTCAATGGAGAACCTGCCGGGTGGATGCCAGCCCACCCCACCTCCCTGGCAGTTCCCAGCTTGTTTGTCTGGCCTTAATCTTTAATTACTATTGTTATTTGAAGCATATGCAGGTTCTCCCTGCATATCTGCATCATGTATGTGCCTGGTGCCCATGGAGGCCGGAGAGGGTGTTGGACTCTCTCAGATTGGTTACAGACAGCTGTGAGCCACATACGGGTGCTGGTCCTCCGTCCAGAAGAGCAGCCCTGCTCTTCACCACCGAGTCATCACTCCAGCCCCTTACGTCATCTTTTTGAGACAAGGTTTCATGGAGCCTAGGCTGGCCTGGAACTCTTACTGACTTCTGAGTCCCCACTTGGATCTTCTGTCCTCCCCTCGTCTCTCCACCCCCTGGAGAAAGGGTCTTTGTACTCCAGGCTGGGACCGAACTCACTATGTAGCTGAGGATGGTCTGGAACTACTCCTGTGTCTGCCTCCCAAGTGCTGGAATTACAGGTTTGTACCACACACTATGCTACACCCGGCCTTTCTAACAAGTTACAAATGAACCAGTTCTGGCATTCTGGTTTTCTACTATAAAGGCAAGAAGGCTTAGTGAGGCCTGCCAGAGCTGCTGAGATTTCAAAGGGGTCTGCAAGGCATGTGTGACACAGTGACACAATTACCAATGCACAAAACTCTCCCTTGGGTTGGAATTGGGATGCCAGAATGGACTCCTTGGGACACACTGGCTGCCACTGCTGACCCTGGTTTGCCACCTCTACATCTGGAGCTGAGCTGTCACATGGAGTCTCCTGCTATGGGTGCCCCTGATAGCACCTTCCACTCACTCCGAGCCACCACTGAAGCCAGCCCTGCATATTACCGGACATATTCCTTCTTGTTTTCCTCAGTGACAGGCACATTTCTGCCGTTGGGTTTCAGTTCGTGCTGAAGGATCCGCCCAAAAGCATTGTGCTCCACACAGAAGGTATGGTCCAGCACTGGCGTGATGTCATTCTCTCTGCGGACACAGGCAGAGGCTGGTTAGGCCCATGCCACAGAGTTCTAGGGGCCTATGTTGGACACTGACAGACACAGCTCCCGTCCCGTCCCTGTCTTTATGATTCTCATTCATGGGGTGGAGGGAGTCACTCTCGTCCCATGACACCATGGGACATGAGGCTTGATTGCTCTGGGAGGAAGCCTGTGAAGAGCAGAGTCAAAGGGACTAAGGCAGAAAAGAAAATAAGGCTCATCTCTCCTCAGGGCAGCCTTTCAAAGGCATCTGTCCCACAAAAAACACACTTGAAATGTCAGACTTAACTTTTATCTGCCCTACCTCTTGACAATCAGAATGACAGATTCCCCACAGGAAGCCTCGCCCCCTAGCCTGTCTAAGCTGGGTCTTCCAAGCCACAATTCGTCCTGGTTTGCTCCAAAGCAAAGGTAAACACTCACTTTGTCTTAATACTTTTTCTGGCCTTCTACAGATACCTGAGAAACTGGGGTGCTCACCCCCCACACACGCACACACATCAAGATTACTGGCATTTGTAATCAAACCTTAATTTAAAAAAAAAAGCTTCTGAAAAGAAATCTGCTAAGCATCATTAAGAATATAAGTCAGCTGTTAATTTGTAATGCTGCAACCTAATGCTTGTTGTTATAGTTTTGTTACTCTCATCTAGTTTCACACCCAAAAGCATGTGCATACACAACAGACACACCATGAGCTGGGGAGAGGATGGCGACACTTACAGAATCCACACCAAACTCTTGTGCAGTTCTGGGTCCACTGACTCCAGATCCGATAGCTGGATGGGTTTTCCCAGGAGCTGCTTGTAGAATGGAACTGTGAAGCCCCCGTTTATGTAGTGTCCATGGAACACAGCCAGACCCATGATGCGACCCACAAAGTGGAAGTAAGACAAATGGTCCTGTAGGGGGCATCAGAGAACAGCAAGTCATTAGAAGATGAACTGCCAGCATGGGCACAGGCTTCCTGGGACTCTGGAAGTAACAGGGCTTATACTCAGCTGCCATCCCCATCTGTGGCCAGGCAAGATACGGCTGCAGGTTTCGCTTCAGGTTCAAGAGCATTTCTGTGTGTGTGCATCAAAGTTCAAGTGCTTCATTCCTCAAGTGCTGCCCACTGTTTTTTGAGTCAGGATCTCTCACTGAACCTGGATCTGACAGGTCAGGCTGGCCAGCCATCCAATTCCAGGGGTTGCATCCACCTCCCCAGGCCTGCACTTCCATACCTAGCTTTTGGGGGAGGGGGTTGTTTGGTCTTGTAAGACACAGGGTCTCCTTACATAGCCTTGGCTGATCTGGAACTCGTTCTGTAGACCAGGCTGGTCTTGAACTTACAGAGATCTGCCTGCCTCTGCCTCCCGAGTGCTGGGATTAAAGGCGTGCGCCGCCACCCCAGCCACAATTGGCTTCCTGGTGGGTTCTGCAGTCTAAACAGGTCTTTCGCTTGTGTGGATGAGCCATCTTTCCAGCCACAGGGTTATTTATATTGGAATTTCCTAGTAGAGCGAGTCCCTAATTCCAACGCTGTGGCCTTGAGACACTGAATATGCTCCTCACAGAGCATGGTCTTAAACCCATCCAGGGATGTGTCTCTTATACCTACCACATGCTGAGTGTTCACATTTGTGGCCTAAAGAGCTAATTATGGAACTTTTCCAATTTTCATCAGAGTATGGACTTGGTAACCTAGCTCTTAAGGTGACAACAAAAATAAAAACACAAGATCCGGCACCAGAGCAGAGTTGTTCCCCCCTCCCCTCAGAGGGTCAAGCAGCTCAGAGCCACAGCCCTCCCTACACACAGCAGGCCCCTGTTCTAAGCCTGGCTGAAATCCAGGCTGGAACCAGGTTCTCCCAAGTCAGTGCTGTCACTCCTGTCCTGAGCTCTCCTCGGCATCATCTCTAAGTTACCAAGTACTGGTGGAAACCAGATTTGCCTCAAAAACTCCTGCTAGATTCCTAAAGTCTGCATTGAGAACACTCACAGGGTTGACGGAAGAATCTGGGTTGATTTGCAGTGTGTAAATATTGTCTGTGGAATACTGGAAGAGTCCATAATACGGATTCAACATTTCATGGCACAACAAATACAGCCACTCCCTGGGAACAAAAACAACACAGTTCACATGTGTGTTTCGTTTCAGCTAACAGTATCGTTTTCCAGATTATTTTTAAGGTGTGTGTAAATGTATGCCACATGCATACATGCAGTGCCCAAGGAGGCCAGAAGAGGGCATTAGATCCCCTGGAGCTGGTTACAAGAAATTGTGAACAGCCATGTGGATGCTGGGAACCAAGGTCAGGTCCTCTGCAGGAGCAGGAAGTCCTCTCAGGCCATCTGGCTATTGTAAAGGGTTTCACAGAAGGGAACAAACAGTTCAAGCTCCAGGGAATCAGAGACTTCTGATGGCTGAGAGGCCAGCATGGGACTGATCCAGACCCCCTGAATGTGAGTGTCAGTGAGAAAGCCTAGGCAATCTATGGGGCATTGGGTAGTAGATCAGTATTTATCCCGGGCACACAAATGGACTTTGGGTGCCCATCCCACAATGAGGGGTGCTCTCTCAGCCTGGACTCCTAGGGGAGGGCCTAGGCCTTGCCCTGAATGAAATGACAGACTCTGGATATCCCCCACGGAGGGCTTCACCCTACCTGAGAGAATGGGGGGGCTGGGGGGAGAAGGGGAGGGAGAGGGAGTTGGGATTGACATGTGAAGCAAGCTTGTTTCTAATTTAAATAAAAAAGTAGAGGGGCTGAGAGACAGTGTTTGCAGGGGACCTGAGTTTGATTGCCAGCTCTCACGGCAGCTCACAACCATCTGTTAACTCCAGTCCCAGGGGATCTGATGCCCTCTTCTGGCCTCTGTGGGTACTTTATGCCAAGGTGCTTAAACACATATGCAAGCAAAACAACCCCACAGAAAGTGAATTAAGCCTTTAAAACAAAAGCATTCCAGAGGAGCTTGAGTGGCAGACATGGAGAACTGAAGACAGCCCGATAGTAGAGCAGAAGTTAAGCCTTCTCCTTGCTGCCCAGAGTCTGTGTCTGTGACCAGATCCCTAGATCAGGAGGTAGCAGCCTGAACCTGACCACCTGGATAATTTCTGAAGCCTCTTAGAACAAACACTACGGTTGAGAAGCCCTTGTCTCAAAAGTGAAAAGGGGCTGGGCAGGAAACAGAGGCTTTTCATTATTCTTTTTACATTTAATTCTAACCAGAATGCCAGCACCTTATAAAATTTCCTTGACACAAGCATAATTTACACGAGTGTCCCACTCATGGCTTCAATGAGAAAAGCCAGGTGGCCTCCATGTTAAGTTCAGCAGAAGCCCTTGGAGCTCCATTTCAGACACGTGAGCTGAGGATGGAGTATGCATGAAGTGTAACCCTGACTATGCCAAGTAAACGTGACAATCCTGTTTTTTAACGGGTGACATCAGCAGCTCAAGTCAACAGGAGAAGCCTGATGTCCTACGGGGATGTCAGCTCGGTGGAGCAGGGCAGGCTCCACTGTGGCACTTGGGAAGTGAGGGGCAAATAGCTTCCTCCAAGTGCAGCGACAATGACCTATGACTCGTGGGGAAGGGGGGTACGTTAGCTCACCGTGCCACTCCACCATAGTCCAGACCTTCCTCCCCTCGGAACTTCACCATCAGACGCTTCTTCAGGTCCTTCGGGCGCATCTTCATGATCTGGCGATATGACTCCTACGTAACAAAGGTTCAGAAAGAAAAGCTGGAGAGGAGGACACTAGGGAGGAAACCCAGGATACTGCAACATACTAGAAAGTTTGCAACTGAGCCACACCCCGGCGCCCCATTGGGGATTCTAGGCAGGTGCTCTAGCACTGAGCCACGCCCACCCCAGCCTGGGGGGGGGCATTCCTGCTGCTAAACAACCTCCCTTGCCCCTTTTTACTTTTGCATTTTGAGACAGGCTCTCGCCAAGTTTCCTAAACTGGCAAGCTCCCTCAGGTGGTCATTTCTGCCAAGGGTCTCTACACAGGTGGGTAGGGTGAACCCAAACAAAGCTAAGATTTTACCTCATGACCCGTCTTTTCTTTCAGAAAAGGCTCTAACCATGCAGAAATTTTGACTGCCAGGAACTAGTAAGGGGCAGAACCACTCTCCTTCCTGTTCCCAGAGACAAATCCAGGGCTGAATGGCCATGCATTGTCTCTTGAGAAGGAAGTGCCCCCACTGAAACTCTGCAAGGACTGAGTGGGTATGAGAACACCCAGGCTAAGAAATAACCTACATCTGCTCAGGGCCAGCTGGGACCCCAGACCTGAGCAACCAGATTCTGCACAGCTGTGTGCTCTCCCCCTAGAAACCACTGAGCACTTAAAATTTGTCAGAAACAGAAACACAATTCCACTCAGCATAAGCCTTGGTCCCTACAAACCCTGCTGCATCTCACTAAACAGTAAAACTGATCTCTTGGGGGGGGGGGCAGATCTCTGCTAGCTATACAAATTCTGGAGGATTCATATAAGCACTATACAGAGAACTCAAAAAAAACTACATGGGGAGTTCATTTCAGCCATCAAAGTGGTAGACATTAAGAACACAAATGCTGTTGAGAATGTGGGCGTGCAAACTAGTCTGGGCACCATGGCAGTCAGTCAGTCTGAAGGCTTCTCAATTAACTACAGCTAGATCCACAATGTGACTTGTACAAACGTCAGAGTACTTAACTCAAAACATTACATAAGAAGTCATCAATGCTTACTTACAACAGCTAAGCTATGGAACCAACCTAGGTGTCCAACAACAGGGGAATGGATAAAGAATATATGCTATGTATAGACACTGGAAAATTTTTATCTGTAGAATGAAGTTATGCTGTTTGCAGAAGAGCTGGAACAACTGGAGGCAATGATAGTAAGTAAATTAAACCTGTCTTAGACAACTATCATGTTCTCTCTTACATACAAGATTCCTCAATTTTATAGATACATAACATCATATACATATCACATTTCTGTGAGAGTATTAAGGGGAACAGGAGAACTATGGGAGGCTAAGAAAGCGGAGGGTGGGGGCTGGGAGACAGCAGTACAGCAAACAATATGAAAATGTCCTTGTGTGACAGGACACTGTATAATGAATATCCACAATAAAAAAAAATCTTTTCTGAGAGAGGGTCTCACTGTGTAGACCAGGCCGGCCTCAAACTCAGAGTTCCTCCTGCCTCTGCCTCCCTAGTACTGGGATAAAAAAGCATGTGCTACCATATCCAGCTACAGTAAAAGCTAAACAGAAACAAATTAGTAAAACTGATCCTTCAAATACAAAGCCGAAAGCAGAGTCCACCGAGATGGTACAAACAGCTTATTTAACACAAGCCTCCCTGCTTGTTTCTCCAGGGGGCTACACGGTTTAGCAAGACGTAATTCTTTACCTCAAATATTTCTTCTCTGGAAACTTCTATTCGACAATGACCCGCTTGGGGTTGCTGAAGAGAGAGTTCATGCCTGAGAACTTTGAGCTTCTGAACTAAATCTCTCTCGTATCTCTGGGCAGGAAGCTCCTCGTCCTCCATGGAGCCCTCGCTGGGCAACTGCAGCGGCTGGCTGGGCTCCTTGAGTTGGCACTGGTGACTGCAAAGAAGAGAAACAGCGGTCACTAGACAGGCCAGAGAGCTGCAGGCCAGACACACCACTGACTCAGACCCCGCACACACTGCAGGCAGCAGGCTCTTCTAGACAGGCCTGCTCTGATGAGTGACAACTGCTGAAAGCTGCCATCAGTCCAACACAGGTCTGGGGTACAACAAAGGAGATAGGTAACTGTGTGACGGCTGTTCTTGATTGTCAACTTGACAAAACTGGGATGAACTAAAACCCAAATTGCTGGGCATACCTGTGAGTTTGTTGTTTCTTTTCTTTCCTTCCTTTCTTTTTTCTTAATTAAATCATTTGGAGTGGGAAGAACCACTTCTAATCAGGACATCAGAGGTGGGAGCTCCACCTGTAGTTTAGGAAGGAAGGAAGGAAGGAAGGAAGGAAGGAAGGAAGGAAGGAAGGAAGGAAGGAAGGAAGGAAGGAAGGAAGGAAGGAAGGCTGCTCTCTCTCTGCCTGTTGCTCTGGCTCTCGCTAGCATGTTCATTCCTTCACTGGCATCACAGCCTCCATCTTTGAGATTCCGATGTATACTGAAGACCAGATGAGAGCCTTGTGGAACTGAGTAACTACTGGATTCTTGGACTGTAAGTCATTATAATAAGTCATTCTGTTAAGTTTTTTCCTCTAGGGAACCCTGACCAATACTATCTGCTACATTATTACTGACAACTACAACAGAAATTGTTTGTGTGTTATGCAACTGTATGTGCCATTGATAGCAGCAGGTGCACTAGTGTCAGGGCCTTGGCAGGAATGGAACGAGGTTGGCAGGGGACTTTTACAGGGGATCACTGGAAGCCAGGCCAGAAGTGAAGAGCAGACAACCTGTGACATCCAGTAACACCCACCCCTCCTTTTAATCAAGATTCCCAGCCCTGTTAACTAAGAACAAAGATCAGTGACGGGACTCAGGCCAGTAGGGGCAATGTGGCATTTGCTTTATTCAAGTTTTGCCACTCACGCCAGCCACACTGCAGAGCTCTGTGTGAAGTTGTGTCTGTGGGCGGCACAAAAGATCTCCCATTTCCAAGGCACGAATGCCTGGTACAGGAAAAGCCCCTAGCAAGCAACATCACGAGCAGCAGGCCCTTACAGAACATGCTGTCCAAGTTGTGCTGGAGAACTGCTTCCTGCTGTCACTGCAGTGACCTTCACATAGGCTGCTTGTAGGAAAAGGGTGCCAACAATGGACAGCCTTAGTAACAGCCACGCTAATCTCAGGGTTTAAAATATGTCACTGTCTATCAATTGTCTACTTTGCTTATGCCCACTGTCGAGCAAATACTGCAGTAGATGCATTAAGAAAAATATTGGGCCTGAGGAAATGGTTCAAGGAGTCAAGTTTTTGCTTTACAAGCCTGAGGATCTGAGTTCAGATCCCCAGAACCCAAGTAAAAACCGAGTTGTGTTCATCTGTTCATCTGTCACTTTAGTGCTGGGGACAGAACTAGGCAGATCCCTGGAACTTGCTAGTCAGCTAGACAAGCCAAAAAGGTGAGTTCCGGGTCACCCTGCTCAAAAATTAGGGTGGAGAACGATAGAGGGAGACCTCAACATTGACCTAGAACCTCTGCATATACCACAACACTGTTGAGCACTTATTCCCCAACATGTATACGCGCATGCGTGCACGCGCGCACACACACACACACACACACACACACACACACACACACACACCAATACTGGTGCAAGGAAGCATCCGATTATAAAGAGGCCAGCAAAGATGTTACAGTCTTACTTCATGATGTGGTGAAGTCGTGGGTCTGTAAACTGGGTTGTCCTATTATTGTGATCTACAAAATAGATTCTTCCCGATACTGTACTTCTGACTTCCCAGCCTGGAGGCAGCGGCCCAAGTTCATCACAGTTCACACTGTTAAGGTCTCTAGCAAAACGGAACGTATAGAGAGCTTTATCCCACTGAGAACCAAGGAACAGACCAACATTCAGTGCCAGTAGCCACAGAGGTTTCCTAGCAAGGTACCCATGTCCCTGTCACACTGCTACTCGTGCCAACCCCAGGAAGTCTAAACCTCTGGCCAACAAACAGCAGCAACATCTGACCATAAGAGCAGACCTCTCAAGTGTTCGTGCCCACCATAAGGAATGGGGCTACCCCTAGTACAGCTTTCCTCATATAACAAAGGGGCGCACTAGCAGGAAGCTCTTGGAAGTCACTACTCAAAGCAGATGCTCGGTGCAGTAGATCCCTCCACTGAGCAGATCCTGAGGGCCCCACCCTTTCAAGGCTGGGAAGAACACAGAGCATGCACTCCATGGCATGGCAGCCCACAACAAGGCAGCCCCATGCTCAGCAAGTGCTCTCACTCTGGCCCCTTGATAACTTCACTGTGATCTTGTCAGAAGGGACCAGCATGCCTGATCAAGACACATTAGGGATCAACACAGACGCCTTCATTTCTTATGATGCATACCAAGAGGTACCGCAGTCGTTTGCAGGAAATATTCCCAGGCAAATGACGGACCCTGAATAGTAAATTCAACACCAAAGATAGGAAGCTGGTTCTTGGGGAACAAATCATGAATAAAAAGGAAATGAGCATTGCCCAAGGTCTCTTAGGTACTGTGCTACTGTAAACGGGAAACAGAAGAGGAAATAGCAAAGAAAGAAAGAAACTTAACTCTGGCACAGGGTGGGGCGGGGGTCTCTCTGACCTGGGCTCGGATGTATGGCCTTGTAGAAGGAATTCGTATAGAAAAGCTTCATCTCCCCCCGGAATGGTCCCCAAGGGACTGAGGCAAGAGGGGCAGTAAAGTAGAAGAGAGAAAGGGTAACAGAGTCTTTATCTTTCCTGTTTAACTTTGTATCAAGGAAAATTTTATGCATTTACAAAAAAGTAGAGAGAGCTCATAGTAGATGGCCACATGACCAACTTCAACGGCGACCAAGACCCACCATGGTTCCACACTCCCCCACACATGCCCCTGCCCAGCAAGTCCCAGCCTCCATCTCCCTTCACATGGCACCGCTAGCTTCCATGAGAGGGGCTGGCTCTTCAAGCCTGTGAGGCCTACCTGGGGATCCTGGGGTCGTGCCACGTGCTGACTCCAGTCTGTGTGTGCAAAAAGTAAACTTGTCCCTGCACTGTTGTCCTCTGCTCTGTATGAGAAAGGGATTTGACAGAGTAAGTCAGTTCCAGTTTCCAACTCTAATCCTATTTTCAGACTCTTAAAAGTATTTTGTGTATGTGTGTGTCTTGATACATGATGCAGCCCAAACCAGCCTTGAACTCATGACTCTCCTGCCTCTGTGGCATCCTCAGCAAGTGGCTGCAGGGTACCACTGCACCCACCTTGGCATCGTCAGTGATGAGACTGCAGACACCACCACTGTACCCACTTCTTTCAACACTTTTTATGATACAGAGAAAATAATTACAAGGCCATGGCTGACTTCCTCGAATCTACTCTGTCAACATGCTTGGGGAGAATCTGTTTCTCACTGAGCTACCCTGGGGTCAATGCCTCCACCCACTTCTGCCATAGACACAACTTTCCATCTCCACTCTCGTCTCCTAACACGCTTGCATCTGGGTGACCTGATGATGTGAGTGACACCGCTCTTGGTCCTTCTCCCCTGAAGCCTCATGGTCCCATCCCCTTGACGTCCCTTCCATTCTCAAATCACAGAGCACATGTGTTTCCTCACTTGCTTCACTGTTGTCTCTCTGTATGTCCATAGCTAGCATTTCCAAGTTCCCATCCTTATGTGGCCACAGCCATGCAGTGCCATGGCATGGGAGGCACAGCCAGGTCATTAGCAGCTGTGTATAGGACACTTTAAAAGTTTGACAACACAGGGGCTGGAGAGATGGCTCAGAGGCTAAGAGCACCGGTTGCCCTTCCAAAGGTCCAGAGTTCAATTCCCAGCAACCACATGGTGGCTCACAACTATCTACAATGAGATCTGATGCCCTCTTCTGGCGTGTAAGCAGACATGCAGACAGAACACTGTACACATAATGAATAATTTAAAAAAAATGACAACACAGGCTTTCAAAACAAGTGCTGATTCCATAGGGACACAAGGGTGAATTCCTCACTGTCCTGGTTGGTTTTCTGTCAACTTGATAGAAGCTAGAGTTATTTGGGAAAAGAAAATTTTTGCTTTGTTTTCTTTTTCTAAGACAGGGTTTCTCTGTGGTTTTGGAACCTGTCCTGGAACTAGCTCTTGTAGACCAAGCTGGCCTCGAACTCACAGAGATTCACCTGCCTCTGCCTCCTAAGTGCTGGGATTAAAGGTGTGAGCCACCAACGCCCGGTGGGAAAAGAAAAATCTTAATTGAGAAAATTACTCCATCATATTGGCCTGCAGGCAAGTCTCTGGGAGCATTTTCTTGACTAGTGATTAATGTGGGCGGGCCCAGCCCACTGGGCAGGTGGGCTCTGCATGATGTAAGACAGCAGAGTGAAACGGGGCTTGGTGGCACATGTCTGTAATCCCAGCACTCAGGAGGCAAAGGTAGTGGATCTCTGAGTTCAAGGCCAGGTTGGTCTACAAAGTGAGTTCCAGGCCAGCTAGGGCATAATGAAGCCCTCTCAAAAACAGAAACAACCAGCCATGGCATATCAAGTAGCAGGTACTCCGAAATGTCACTTCCTCTCCTATTAAGACTGGACAAGATAACCCAGTAGGAGGAAAGGGTCCCAAAAGCAGGCAACAGTCAGAGACAGCCCTGCTCCCAGTTTTAGGAGTCCACAAGATGATAAAGCTACACAACTGTGACATGGACAGAGGGTGAGGTCAGACCCATGCAGGTGCCACGGCTGGCAGTTCAGTCTTTATGAGCCCTGGAAGTCCAGGTCAGTTGGTTCTGTTGGGTTTTCTGAAGTTTTTTTTGGGGGGGGGGGCTGAGAGGAGAAGAGGGAGGAAAAACTACGGTCAGGATGTAAAATTAACTAATGAAGTTAGTTAGTTAGTTAGTTTCTCAAGATAGGGTTCCTCTGTAGTTTTGGAACTCACTCTGTAGATCAGGCTGACCTTGAACTCACAGAGATCTGCCTGCCTCTGCCTCGTGAGTGCTGGGATTAAAGGCACAAACCACCACTGCCCAGCTAATTAATTTTTGTTTGTTTTTCGAGACAGGTTTTTTCTGTGTAACAGCCCTAGTTGTCTTGGAACTCACTTTGTAGACCAGGGTGGCCTCAAACTCACAGAGACCCCGTCACTGCCTCTGCCTCCCGAGTGTTGGATCAAAGGTGCATACCACCACCACCCAGTTAATTAACTTTTTAAAAGAGGACAGAGTGCTGACTGAGCAAGCCATATGGAGCAAGCAGTTAGCATTCCTCTGGCTTCTGTATCTGTTCTCGCCTCCCCTCAGTGACAGACTGTAACCTGTAAGCCTAAATAAACCCTTTCCTCCCAACTGTTCTTACTCATGGGGTTTATTTATCACAGCGACAGAGAGCAAACTAAGACACTCACCATAGCCTTCAGGCAGCTCTGGTGACTGGTGGCCATGTGGCCGGTTCTGGGGCGTCTGTAGGGACCCTCGAATCTCAGGATTTCGTAGTCGCTGGAGTCTCTGATCTTGGCTTGGAGACCCCACAAACCTGCAGTCCCCACCACCTGCGGCTGCACCGGTACCATCTGTGTATGGGGCAGGCTCCTCCATGAGGCAGCTGAGTGGCCTTCCCGGGCCTGAGTCTTCATACACTGTTCTGGAAGGGGCAGGGCAGAGCAGGTATGGGAACATCATGGGAGGGTCACAAGACACACACTCAAAGTACACATGCATTTGTTCTATGTTCCTTTAACAAGTGACAGTGTTCCCAATGGTATTTAGGGTGTCCAGTGAGAGAGAAAGACTCTCAAGTGGAACCCTAATTTAGACTAACAGGGCCACTCCAGGCTACAGCTCTAAGTGATGAGAGGTGCAGCAGAAGCTACTCATGACATTTCATTTTTCTTGATTTAATCCAAACACTCCATTTTCTTTTTCACATAAAATATTATGGCTCTAACTGCTTTTTAAATATTCTTTGCTCCCCCCCAGGAATTTCAAAAACAATTTTCCTTAATGAGTCACTTCCCCTTATATAAAACCCTCTTATATTGAAAGGTGAGAAAATGGGCTTCTACCCGAAACCAGCAGCCAGTTACAGCAGGTGACGCAGCCGCTCTCAGTCCTCTCTACCACTGGGCTATTGTCAGTGCAATCCCTACATTTTACCGCTCTACCTGTACATGTTTTGGCATGGATCACTTTTTTAAAGGCACTGACGTCACCATTACTGCAGCTGAACAAAGGAACATTCATTTAGAAGAAAAAAAAAACCAAACACGAGCCAATGTTCAAATTTCTGTCTTATAAAATCAGGATTGAAACAAAGTCTAAGCCTGGAGTGATGGCTCTGCGGGCAGAGTGCTTACTGAGCAAGCATAAGGACCCGAGTTCAAAGCCCAGCTAGTGTGCTAGTGTATGCATGTAGTTCCAGCACCGGGGGAGACAGGTGCTCACTGGGGCTCACTAGTTGGCCAGCCTAGGCTAGCTATTGAGTCCCAAGCCACTGAAAGACCTTGTCTCAAAATCCAAGGTGGGGGCCAGAGAGATGGCTCAGCAGTTAGAAGAGCACTTCCAGAGGACCCAGGTTCAATTCCCAGAACCCACATGGTGGCTCACAACTGCCAGTAACTCCAGTTACAGGGGATCCAACACCTTCACACAGACATACATTCAGGCAAAACACCAACACATATAAAGTAAATAAATAAAACTTATAAAAATGATATTTAAAAAAATAAAAAAATAAATCTTAAAAAAATAATCCAAGGTGGGTGGCATGTACACGCACTCGAGCGCGCGCACTCGCGCGCGCGCGCACACACACACACACACACACACACACACACACATACACACACACACACACAGAAACAGTCTCCCATATTGCCTTTAGTGATTGTTTCTTGGGCCTTTTTTTTTTTTCTTTCTTTCTTTTCTTAATAGCTCAGGCTGGCCTGGAACTCAGGATCCTCCTGCCTCTGCCCCCCTTGGTGATGGGACTGCAAGTGTACTCCATTATGCCCCGCTCAACTGTCACCTCTACCTGGTGAGCACTTCTCTGACTTATTTTCTAAGTCTCTGGGGAAGGGGGTAGTCTAATCCCTGGTGTAGTTATACCTTCCTTCATAAACTAGTAGTCTGGGACAGTTTTATCCTCCATAGCAGTATAAGTTTCAAAGGTTCCTTCCTATGGGGAAAGAGAGCATGGCTGGCATCATGGTGGGCATACGTACCCTTCATTTTCTAGCAGTCCTCTGCAGTCCACCACCGACCCTCCACTGCCTATTCTGTCTCGGGTCTGTAAACTGACTACAACAGAAAAGAGGAGCTTACGTTAGAATCAAGGGTTGTTCTACACCCTGCTGCACAGCGAGCCACCGACACCCTATAACCTATGTCTGTATCATAGAAAGGAAGTGAGCTCATACACACACCGAGGCTTTCGGTGTGAAGCATCGAGGGCCAATAACTGCACCCCACACACTGTTTCAACAGTCCTTGAAACGGAGGGCAGGAAAGCTGCAAAGGCTCTCCTGCCTGCCCCGGCTCCCCACACAGCTACAGAGCACAGTGTGAAATCCCATTGCGTTAGCCTCCATCTTAAGAAGACCTGGTTAATGTTTAGTGGAGGTACTATGGACACTTTCAGTGCCATAGTCTGGCTCAGTCTAAAGAAACATTCATGTCTGGCCTCACTGGCACGGACAAGAAAGTGGTTTTACTTAAGTTTTCAGTTGTATGGTTTCTGCCCGATACATCCCTCCACAGAGGAAAGAAGAGACTCGGATAGGAATGCAGTGCGCGAGAGTGTTATCGCTAAGCTGTTGCCAGGGCGGACGCACTGCTCGCTGTCTTGGGACCTGAGGCATCTGGAGTTGCAGAGTGACTCAGCCTGGCTGCTGCTCCTCCGAGTCCATACAGTCAGTACACACAGCCAGCATGTGCTTTCCCCTAACACACTGCCAAGAAGAGGGTGGGCAAGGGGATGGGCAGCTCAGAGGTCACTCCATCGGAATGCCTCCAGTCAACACTGTAAGCACGTTTTAATCTTTCTCTCCATACAACAGAATCTTCTGACTATAAATCACATTACTTGGATTTGTCACACATCATTGCTTTTGCCATATAAGATGGGGCTTCCCAGAAGTCTTGTATTCCAGCTCTTGCATATGTGGCCATCCCTACTAAGCTCTTCTCACCCCTGGACAATACAAACATCAACTGTCCATTCTTGTGGTGACTGGCACGGGACATTTATAAATCACAACCTCCATCTCCGCTGGAGTCATATGAACTCAGTTTCAATGACAGGATGAAGGGAACCAGAGAAAAGAATGAAAACCACACAAGAGGAAAGGCTTGTTCTGGAGAGATGGCCCGTATGTGGTCTGCCCTGGAAGCCTGGCCCCATGAGTACCGGGAGCAGGACGGTGGGTTCCGTCAAAGCACCCTTTATGCAGATGAGAAAATTCTTACCCACTATTTGGCCACGAACCGCATCAGTATCTGAGGGATTTAGTTTGCATAGATCCAAACGCTGGTCTGCAAACAAACAATTCAAAACTTAACCCATAGAAGGTTAACTAGGGAGGAAGGCAGGAATTCTGTATTCAGCATTCAAAACAAATCAAAGAAAGAAAAAAGATGCCTCCTAGCTTTCTCCAGCTGCACTGAGAGGCGGAAGAGCATTTGGTTCTTACAGCCAGTGTCTTTCAATCTGCTGATGGCATTGGAGAGCAGCCGCACACAGCCCAGGAAGCCAGCGCCCTGCTTCTTGTGGATCTTCTTGTGGTTCCACACACTGATGGTTATAGAGTCAGTTTTCCCAACGTACCTGCAAGACCACATGAATTCGCTCAGATACCCTCTGGAACTGTGACAGTCTCACTTACATGCGTGTGGTGGACTTGGAATCCATGGTGTGCAGGTTGGTGGTTGCGTCTCGCTAACCATGGGATACACAAGTCGTGAGTGCAGGTAACCAAGTCATAATAAGCATTTTAAATTAGCACTTCCTTTATTCATTTGTTTATTGTACTTGAGATGGAACCAAGGACCTCCCACAGGTCAAAGCAAGCACTCTATCACCTGGCCACGCTCTTGATCCTTCACTGGCAAGTGTTCCTCCTTAGCCATACGCCCAACCCCATCCCTGCCTGCTTTGAAAAACAAAAACAAAAACAACGTTTTATTTTGAGATGGAGTCTAAGTTGCCCAGGCTGGTGTTGTGAAACAATTTCCTTGGAAGTGAAATATTCTACACCAGGGGGAAACTTATTTAAACTCAGGGAATTCTAAAGGAATTCCTCTGTAAAACACAGGAAATAAGAAACTCACAAGTCTCAGGAAATCCTGAAACTTAACAGATTCCCAGGGTTGCAAGGTACAGACTGCTGAGGAGATGAGGACGCTCCAGGGTGCTAAGCTGCCTGCAATTCCCGCAGAGAGCAACAGGGCCCAGCTTCTGGGGGGCATCACTGGTGATGGGGTAGGCTGTCAGTACTGCAACTGCTCCTGCAAGTCACCCCTCACCCGCCCTCCTGTAAGTCACCCCAGTGCACTCATCAACTCACCAAGCTGGACTCTGCTGGAGTCATTACCTTGGTCTGTATGTGTTTACATTCCCCCGTGTAACAGCGAGACTGAACTAGCTGTGTAAACTAGGCAGGGTTTCAACTTACAATGCTCCTGCCTCAGCATCCCAAAGTGGCAAAACTCCAGGCCGATACCTCCAGGCCCAACACAGGATGGGATCTTGTAAAGAGGTGAACTACACTCTAGCACTTCTGGGGGCAGTGACCCAGGCTTAACAGAGAATACTAAGTTTGCATCAAGGGACTCCTTACAATTCCACAAGTGCACAAGGTATATGAATCAAGATAATAACCCTTCTCAATCCTAGGGCATGTCTACTGAGAGAGTTATCAAGACAAATAGCAACCACGTTCCCAGCCATTTGAAGAGAACCACAACATGCAGCCACTGGTAAAAATCCCACCCACATGTGCACACGCAGTGCAATCTGTGTTACTAGTCATTATGAGGGACATGGGTCCATATGAAAATATCATCCTAAATTTGGAATGAATATACAAAACTGTACAATGGCTTGTGGAGAAAAATTAGTACCAAAAAAGTCCACATTTTCGAAAAATAACAGAAATATGTGGCACACTAATGTACTTTTTAGATAAAAACTACAACTAGATTTAGGTTTCACTGAAAAAAATGTAGCACACTGAGACATGAATCGCAGCTCTTTTTTTGGTTTTTCTACTGAAACAGATAGGAAGTTCAAGGATCACAACATCACCCTGTTAGGAGCCAAACCATGGAAATCTATGAGAACAAATGCCAAGAGTACCCCAGGGCAGTAACTGTAAATCTGGTAATATGAGTTCACAGCCCTTTGGTCATCAGTTAAAAAGTCAGTCTTTTCTTTCTTTCTTTCTTTCTTTCTTTCTTTCTTTCTTTCTTTCTTTCTTTCTTTCTTTCTTTCTTTCTTTCTTTCTTTCTTCATTATGTCTCTTCAAAGCTTAATCCTGCTTTCCTCAAGCCCTAGAGTCTCATGGGAGGTTGACTCACAGGTCATAATGCTGGTTCCACTTTGGGTCCAGGGTGTTTTTCACAGTGTCGGTTGAGTGGCACTGCCCAGAACCATCCACAACAATCTTGGCAAAGGGGTCAGGGAGTCCTGGGGGACAGAGAGCAGACATACCCAGATGAGATGACAGTTACCTGGGGGTACAGTGCATCCTCCCCACAGAGGGACCAGCAAGATCACCCCTTGGGATAAAGGCACTGCCCATGTCACTCCTCACTAGTCTCCTTTTGAAGGTTGGTCTCCCTTAGCAAAGGGAGTTCAGAGACAGCACACCTTCTCACCTGAGTTCTAAGAAAAGCAGGGAGACAGACTCAAATGCAAACGTCCATCTCTACTGAGCTTTACATTTTAAAAGTTCCTTGCATTTATGTGTATGTGTCTCTGTACGTGTGTGTACAGTATGTGTCGGATCTCCTGGAGCTAGAGTTGCAGGCGGTGAGCTGCCCATGAGGGTGCTGGGACACACAACCTGCTGAGTGAACCATCTATCTCTGCAGTCAGTCCCATCTCTGATGATCCTAAAGGGACTCAATGTAGGAACACAATCTATGATGAAGTAAATTTCTATAGAAATTTTGTTGATTTTTTGCCTGTATTAGCTGTGACATCAAGGAGTTCCCAAGACTCCAGATGCTAGCATATATATCCAACAGGGTTATAACCTTAGACAAGTGGTAAGGCGGAGGCTTTGGAATGAGGCTGCTCTGTGAGCCACCACTTTGTGGAGTTTCCTGGCCCAGTGGATGAAGTCTTTGAGCCTAAGTCTCCTTGCCCTGGAAATATGGATGGTGCCACTTAAGCACTGGTCCCCAGAGACTGGAAGTGGGAGTTTTCAGGCTGCAGGTCCTGACTTCACTGAGCGTAAGGCACACTCAGGGGTACAGCCCCTACTTTACAATTCCTCCCATTACACACTTTTTAAATGCAAACCTGGACTGGCAGTTTTAGTCCAGCCACCTACATCATAAATGCCTTGTTTGCAGAGTACTACCCCACTCAGCAGAGAGCAAGGTCCTCCCGACTGGACTCCCAGGTCAGAAGGCAGGGGACATGGGCTTCACTGGGATGCAGGATGAGATGTATGTTGTGTGCAGCCAGGAGGTGTTTGTCAAGCTCTGGATTCCTTGGCTTTGAGAAGACTACACCCAATGCTTTTAAAAATTTAAGTGTCAGGGGCCAGAAAGATCTAAATCCAATCTATGGTACCAACATGGAGAGAACTGACTCCTCCAAGTCTCACACACACACACACACCATACATATGTGCACACATACACTAAAAAACTTTCAGAAATACATAAACCACATTATACAAGAACAAAGCTGGATGGTACTTACTGAAGAAGTCTTTCTTTGCAAGGTTCTTGGCACATAATACTGAAAGCAAACAAACACTGGAGTTAACATTGATACCACAGACTTCCACCACACTTAGTGTTTGTAATGGGAGGGGAAAAATCACCACTTAAATGTGCCAACAATCTCTTAAACTTAGTGTCACATTAGACACACATCCCTAGCAACTATCTGTAAGTATGTTTCCTCAAGTTGGGGGATCAACAAATTTAAATGCTGTAATTTAAGCTTAAAACATTAAATGCATGGACACACAGATGGAATTATTGGTGTGCTTTAAAGCTATATACACAACAATTTTTAAAAAGGCCTAATGCATTTACCCCAGAGCTGCTAACAACAAAAGGAGCTATACATTCTGGGTATTGTGATAAATAACACTGTGTGTGTGTGTGTGTGTGTGTGTGTGTGTGTGTGTGTGTGTGTGTGTGTGTGTGTGTGTGTGTGTGTGTGTGTCCCCGTCCATGCGTGTTTGGGGATGGAGCCCAGGATCTGCACCTACTAAGTACACATTCTGTACTGAGCTACTCCCAAGTCTGCACTTTTGCAAACATAGACTTTGGTACACTGGAGACCAGGAAACAGGAGACTAGCATAAATACAGAGCTATTAGCAGAGTGTTGTGGAAAAAGTAACAGGTTGCATGTTAAGAAGGTTGTAAAGGAGCCAAATGGTGGTAGCTTATGTCTTTAATTCCAGCACCCAAGAGGCAAAGACAAGGGGATCTCAGAGTTCAAGGCCAGCCTGGTCTACACAGCAAGTTCCAGGAGAGGCATATAACCCAATGGTTTCCTGCACTCACTGGGTTAACAGCTTTCAACAGAATCAATTTTCAAACTTTTCTATCATCCCCAAAGAAGTGCTGTTCCATTAATGTTACCTCTGCTACCTCAAACTCTTCAGCCTGAGGTAACAAGCTGGTCTGTTTCTTGACTCTGATGATTTGCCTAATTTTGAACAGTTCTGATGACTGGAATCACAGCAGTATGGCAGCTGACAGCTGGCCCTGTGCTCACTTTTCCTAGGGAGACATGAGCAAGCATGAACTCACCCCACACATAAAGCCCTGGGTTTGATCCCAGCAATTAGCAGGTGCAGATGTGCACACCCATAATCCCAGCACTTGGGAGGTGAAGGCAGGAGGATTAGGAGTTGAAGGGCATTCTCAGCTACACATTGAGATCAAGGCCAGCCTGGGCTATGTAAGATCTTGTCCATAGAAAACACGCAACAATGGCTTCCCATTTGAAAACTCTGAGCCTAGTACACTCCTCCTCTGCCTTACCAGCCTCCAACATTATTCAACCAAGGCTGGGCCCCAGTTTCTGAGCCACTGGAGCCCCCATGACTTCTGAATGGAGTAATTCTGATCTCACTTTTCAAAAATAAGAAATCATCATTCATTTTTACAGAACTACTGTGTTTTCATTTAGAGCTCATTCCTGTGGAATCTGGTTACATCATAAGATGGAGATGGTCTCGGTAATGTTAGTGTGGAGAAAATCTTGCCTCCGTTTGTGTGCAGGTCACTGAGGGCCACTGAGTCTACCTTAAAGAAACAGAATTTCTCCTGCCAAAATAAAGGCTACCAACTTGAAATTGGGAGAGGTGTCTTGTTCACACACACACCATCAGCACCAGAAGCTGAGAGCAAGGGGCAAACTTGCATCAGTATCTTGCTAGTGTCCAATTCTCAGCTTCTAGAAACTGTTTCTGTAACTTTAAATTTTGTTTTGTTAAGGAGATGGAGTTTCACTACACAGCCCACTCTGGCCCCAAACTCAAGGCAGCAGTCTCCTGTCTCAGCTGGAAGTACCGGCACTGTGGGGTTGGCCTACTGCATTCTTTTTACTACTCTCTCTTCCTCTCAAATATCGGGTTCACCACCATGCCTGGCCATTGGGCATCTTAAACTTTGTGCAATGTTCTACTTCTCCCTGTGTTCTAGGATTCCCTGTCCCCTCGCCTCACACAACTTTCCCACTAGTCCTTGCTCTCCAGAGCTGAGTCTGTAGTCTGCCTGCTCACATCAGTTGCCAGGTGCTGTCTCTGTGGAGCCTCACGTGGGCCAGGGTTTCCCCAGCATCCCTCCAGGTCACTCTTTCACCAGCCCCAGTGAGCACAGACAGACAACCCATTAGGCTTGAACAAATTCTGACTAGTCTTTTAAACAGTTTAATCACATTCTGACATTAGGCCTTTGTCATTTTTCCATCTTGAAGTGTCCTTCCTTTAACTGAACAAGACGACAGAGCGCTGACAGCTCTAACCCTCACCCTGGCCATGCTGTGTGGACACCCCTGTTGACACAGTGTCTTGACTGAGCTAGTAATTGCTGCTCTATCACCAGTGACCTAACCTCTCCTTCTAACCACATTTAAAGAAGCACATGGCTGAAAAAGGCTGGTGGCATAGGCACCATGTGGAGGAGGCAGGAGGTTCAAGGGTTCCAGGCCTCCCTGGTCTGAGATCTTGTCCCTAAAAGAAAAAAAAAAAAAAAAAAGAACCATATCACTTGAACACTCACAATGTAGGTGGCCTTACCATCCCAGAGGTAGGTTTCTCTGAAGGAGGTTTCTGCCTTTAGAAATGGTCTGGCTAGCTGGGTGGTGGTGGCGGCGGCGCACGCCTTTAATCCTAGCACTCGGGAGGCAGAGGCAGGTGGATATCAGTGAGTTCGAGGCCAGCCTGGTCTACAGAGAGAGTTCCAGGACAGGCTCCAAAGCTACAGAAAAACCCTGTCTCGGAAAAAAACAAACAAACGCTTCTCCCCCCATTCTGTTCCCCTGGGGCAGACAGGACTTTTCCTGTCTCCCTCTTCTCTTCTGTCCTCTCTCTGTCTCTGTGTCTCTTTACCTCTTTTGTCTTTCCTGCCCCCTTTCCTCTCCTTTCTAATAAAACTTCTCACACACACACACACACACAAACCCAACAACAACAGCAAAGAAATGGCCTGGCTGTAGCAATGGCTACATCATGCACACACAAAATAGGGGTCCCATGAAAAAGAGGGGAAAAGAAGAAAAAGGAAAGAAAACAGTGCCAAAAATCAAAACTACCATTGCAAAGCTTATAACCTGTTACTACAATTTTTTATTAGAGAACATGGGCTGGGCTGCTGGAAGAGAATGCCCAGGGCATGCAAAGTCCTGGCTTCATCCCCAACACCACAGAAATCACTCATGCCTCTAATCCCAAATGCTCAGGAAGTGGAGGCAGGAGGATTCTGAGTTCCAGGCTGGCCCTGGCTACATGGTGAGCCCATGTCATAAATCTAAATTAAACAATCTGACCTCCAAAACAATACAGAGAAACCCTGTCTCAAAAAAACCAAAAAACCCAAAACAATCTGTAAGTGACAAGAACCACGAAGAACAGAAGTACTGCCCAAGGCAGGGGATGAGGTCCCTCATGTTCAAGGTGCTGTCCCAAAGCCACTACCTTGTAAATTCTCAGACAAACTCAGGAAATCCATTTGTGTATTCAGAGGCAAAAATGAGGGCAGAGAGATGGCTCAGTGGTGGAGCACATATTGGTCTTCTGCCCTGACTCTGGTTTTCCGCATGAATGCCAGGGAAGCCATACAACTGTAACACTAGTTAATTTTGGGGTTCCACTGCGCTCCCACAGCCTCCAAGGGCACTTACATCGTTCATGCACACACAATTAAAAACAATTTTTAAGGCAAAAAAAATTAGCAGATAGATAAAACATGCATAATCACACTTCAGCATATATCTAAATAGACTCGTATTGTCACACTGCAGGACAGGGCATGAGCAACCTTCAAACACCTCTCCTCAGCAACTCCAACAAACACACACATCCCAGCTACCCAGACACCATTACATTGACAAGATTTAGGTTCTTCATGCACCAAGTTACAAAAGAACAGAAACTCTCGTGAACTACAACCACGGGGTAAGGAGCTCTGAGCTGCACCCAGGCCCCAGAGCCTGCAGGGTGAGGTACAGCTGCTGTAGCAAGACTGCCTGGGCTCCGAGCTGGGACTGAGGAATCTGCCCTTGCCTGTCCCCACACACGACCCATCACTGCCGCCTGTGAGCACCTTATCACTTAATAAGCACTTTGGGACCAAAGAGATAGATGACTTAGTGAATAAAAGGGGCCTGCCAGCAAGTCTAACAACCTGAGTTCAAACCCCGAGCCCCCACCTACCCACACCCCCCACACACACACCAAAGTGTACTAAGTGTACTACATCTTTTTTTATAAAGCTCTCTGACTGGATCTCACAGGATGAGGCAGCATGAGGCCAGGGCAGGGCTCCTTCTCCAACTTTGTTGGTTCAGGTGCCTGATTCACTGGCTCACACTGGCTTCTAGAACCAGGGAGCCAATCTCACCAGAGCCGGGAACCTAACCCATTCTGCCTCATCCCCTGCTGCCATGTAACCTACATGGGAAAGAGGGCTGTGATCTCCTTCCTCAAAGGCCTGTCCCAATGGCCTGCTGTAATGCCTGGTACATAGAAGAGACTCGAAACAGTTGCTAACCAGATGGACTAGTTGATGATCCAGTACAGTTCCCTGTAACTGCCTAACTATCCACCACAGACTCAAGAGGGCAGGGACTATTCTGACCCATTACACTCTGACCACAGCACAGGACCTAGTTTACAAACCAGTGTTCAATAAATGTTAAGATTAATGAAATAGCTGCTTGTTTGTTTCAATGACTGACTCTCTCTGAGTTTCCACAATGACACACCTGGATTCCATGACATCTTCTTCATGACTGGAGTTCAAAGCTTGGTAGCCCTATATCCTGCCATCCAAAAAAGTTTATTCAGAATATGCTGCCATTTCTTTTTCTTTCTTTCTTTCTTTCTTTCTTTCTTTCTTTCTTTCTTTCTGTCTGTCTGTCTTTCTCTTTCTTTTCTCCCTTCCTTCCTTCCTTCCTTCCTCCCCCCTCTTTTAGTTTTTCAAGACAGGGTTTCTCTGTGTAGCTTTGGAGGCTGTCCCAGAACTAACTCTTGCAGACCAGGCTGGTCTCCAACTC